GGCCTAGCACAGTAAACAACACAGACTGCAGAACACTCCCAATTCAGGATAATCAGGTAGAAGGGTGGCTGCTCATTATTTTCTAACTGGGTGAGAGTATGGAAAAGACAGAGTTAACAACGTACTCTAATGAACTGTGTACTAGTATAATGTGTGTATATGTGTGTATACATACATGTACTAGCATGTATACATACATACATCTACACAAACACACACACATTTTAAGATAAATGTTCTAAACACAAACTGTGATTTAATGAATCAGCCTTGCCCAGAACATTGTTAAACAGAATATTACTGAACTTCAATTCACCTATTACAAGATCTAATCAAACAATGAAATTAAATAAGGAAATTAGGTACCCTGTTCAAATCTGTTTATAAAAGCCATGTTCCTGCATTATAAAGATAAATACAAATGATCTGGAATTGTTTCAATTCATTTTTTGTGTGTGTGTATGTTCATATACTCAGTGGATATTAACTGAATACTCTACACAAACTACAGAGTTGTCTTGGTCGGAAGCAATTTATTACAAAGGTGTGTAGACTCTAGAACTAAGGGGGCTACGTTGTTTAACCCCACCTCCTTCTAGAGCAAATTATTCCATCTCTTTGTGGTTTGGCTGTACAGATGAGAATCTACACAAAGGGAATGAAAATACCATCTACTTTGTATGGCTGTTATTAAATGAGTTAAGTACTTGGAATGGGACTGGTATTCAAAGGTACAGTATATGTTTTTATTAGATAAAAAAAAATAGAAGAAAGCCTACATTTGGGAAAAAAACAACAACAAAAAAACACCAACAACAACCTCACAAGTATTTGCTTATGGGTATGTTTCTGTAAGAACTTGCATTCTTGACCCATAAAGAATTCATTTTAAACTTCCAATAATTTTTCCCATGAAGTGAGCCAAATGGCAAACATGGGACTTCTGAGTACTTTTAAATAAATAAACCTCTCACTAGCTCTATTCTGAGGACCAGGGAGAAGGGAAAGTCTCTTCATTTGTAACAGGCACGAGAAAGTGTTGTTTCCCCCCTTTACCCACAGTAATGTAGAAAGGTGAGGGCTGTGAAACAATCCTCCACTTTTCCTCAGTGCCCACCCATCTTCTTTCCTCAGTGCCACCTTACTCCTCCCCTCCACTGTTTAGCAGGTCCCTGCCCCCTTCCCATCTCTTTCTTTTAAAATCCCTTTCTTTGTCCTTGCATTTTCCCATTATCCTTATTCTATCTTGTAGTTGTCCACCCCCTTTTACATTACCTGCCTTCTAGTTTTCTCACTTTTGCCACACTTCCCTTTGGACTGCTCTCTTCTCTCTCTCTTCTCTCTCTCCCATTACATTTTAGTCCCCAATCTCTCTCTTACACACACACACACACACACACACACACACAGCTTGCTCTTACTCCCTGTTTTCTCACCCTCTGCTCTCAGCACCTACCTCTTCTTTGTTGGCACTCTATAAACACTTTGTTTTTTAACTTTAAGATTTGAAATACAGCCTATTCTTTTTTACTTACTACATGTCGGTCTAACTCTGACTAATACCACTTTTAGGGAAAATGTGATTTTATCACTTCAAATGGAGGCAAGGAAATGAAAGAGCATGAATGAACTGAGTAATACCCATTTAAAAAATTGAATATCTACCATGTTCCAGGTCCTTTATATACATTGTCTCATTCTCACAATAACTTCGAAAGAAGCTATTATTTATTCCTGTTTTATAGTTGAAGAACATAGCTGAACAATTAGGTAATCTGCCTAAGGCCATACAGAGCTAGAATTTTATCCATCTTATCAGTTCCCTCATATGCCCTCTCTCCCCTATGTCACCCTGCTTCCTAAGTGAATTGAACTACCATGCTATATATATCATGTTTCTGATAAAATTAACAATTGAAGATAACACTGTCAATAGAGATTGTAAGAACATTATCCTCATGCACTTCCCTCCTCCAAACGCCCCATCATCCACCCCCTTTAAATATAGCTAGGGAGGTAATGTCAGGAAGTGGGTAGAAAGGAAAGTGGTGAGAACACCAAAAGAAAACTCTTGCCTCCCTTCTCTCCTTGTTGATTTAGTCTGTGATTGGGCGAGCTCATTAGGAATCATAGACTCAGATACTTTTAGAGTTCAAAGTGTTCTTGGAGACCATCCAAAATAACTCCTTCATTTTAGAAATGAGGAAGCTGCAACTCAGATCAATAAAACTTGCCCAGGACATAGATTTATGTGCTGCCCAACCTGGGTAGGTTGAACTAATATGCATAAGATGTTTATTGACCAGCAAAATGTAACTAACCCACCTGCAAGCCCTGAAGGTCCCAGCATCTCAGAGTGAGAGTCATTCCGGGCCGGAAGGGTGTTCACCAAGGTAACTCTGAGCTGCTGGAGCCCAAACCTGACCTGTTCAGGGGCTCTGGGGGAATCTCGGAGGTCCTAAGACACCTCAGAATTGAGAATGAGTGTGTTTTAAATGGATGCATAATAAACAAACCCACAAGATACATGGCACCCACTTGTAATAGGCCCATTGAAATATTCCGATGCAGTAAAGCCTCAAAGGGTACCAAGTAGCAAAATAAGGCACTGTTTGTTTTCTTATAATTTGCAAAAAAATATACAGACAGACATATATGTATGATCAGCGATGCAATGATAAGCATGAGTGTTCATTCTCAGAACTACGCCTATCACTCTGGCTTTCATGCTAAGTAGATTACAAATATCATGGAATTAGTGTAGAGCATTAAGATAAACTAAGAGTGTTAGGAGAAATGGAAGGAAAAAGAACACAGATATGCTATTTTACTATCTCAGTATCGGTATTAAAGTCTTCTCTGACGTGGTGTAACAATATTTGGCTCCTGGGAAGTTGTTGTTTTTTTTAACTAATGCTGCATTTATCAGGACTTCAGTTTCTTCCTAGCTGACTAGATGCATGCTACTAGGAAGGAGCTAATGTATACTGAAACCAATTTTTATGCTTAGAAAATCCTTGAGTTGTTGAAAGGCACACCTGTGTTGTTTGGCAAGTGAGTTGAATCCCAAGTAAAGAATTTCTGCAAATCTCCTGCTCAGTTGGCTAAACTGGTTTCACTCCTATTGAACAACTGCTGGGGTGGGGGAATCCTCAATTTTTCTTTAATAAGCATAATAACTCCAAAGAAATAACTTCCTGTGCTAATCCCAGTGGCTTAGGTCTCAAAGAAAGGCTCAGCATTTACTTTAGGATGTTAAATGTATTCATGTCAAATTTATTAATTTAGAGATATATTAGTTTTCATATAGGAAAAAATCTACAGGTGTTTTTATAAAGACCAAATTATTGTTAATTAAGGTGTTACTTTGAATAATTTGGAGAAGTAACTTTCTAGCTGCATTCACTTTTATATTGAAGTTAAGAATAGTTTGTTATGAATAGTTAAATAAAAAATTAATTGAACTGAATCCTAAAGAAAATAAAGAAGCATTTATCCGATGAAATGTACTTTGTAAATCAGTTTGCAGATTAACTGCAAAGGTTATTTGGAACTCTATAATCTTAAAGTGAAATGGGCCGTTTAGCCATTACTTCTTTTAAAAATCTTTATTTGGCCCATTCATTTCCTGGACATTCTTACGTTAAATTATGTGGTAGTCTGTACTATCTTTAGGTTTCTTCTGACTAAACTGGTTTTGAAAAGCTCAAGATATAAGACATTGTAAATTAAATGGCTGATTCATTACATAATATTCTTTAGGTATTAGAGAAAGTTAATGTTTTTTGTCATTTGGTCAGGCACTTGTTGGGTCTAAAGTATAACTCTTTAAAATAAATATGCAGTACATGCCAGGGAAGAAAAAGTGTTTAGGGTTGTCCAGCCTCATAGAATGAACAAAGAATAAAGGTAGAAAATTAATCAAGTCCACAGGCATGACGACCCTAGTCTGTTTGAACTGGCAAAGGAACTAATCGTGCTGCCACCCAGGTCTTAAATTGATGGGTTGCTGGTGATATTTTCAACTCCTTTAAAGTTAAAACGGTGTATTACAATCTCTACAGCAAAAGAATATTTCTGTTTTTAAAGTATTCAACTAAGAGATTAATATTCCTTCCCTCTGTAATCCACACCATCTGTTTTCCTAAGTTATACGTGTATCTCAAACAGTCAGAGCCGCGGTTCCCAACTTGGCTATAAACCAGAAACCTTGGGAAGATCACTACTAGAGCCACTGGTGGAGACTCTGGCTTAAAGGATTTGATCTGTGGGGAGGTCAGGGGAGGGATGTGAACTCAAGTTAGAATTCAGGGTTTGTTTCTTCTGGAAGCTATGTTGCAACGGTGAGCTGGGTTTGTGGATTTTTTAAGTACAACAGATAGAGCTACATTATCTGTTAAATAACTTTTGGGAACTGATCTAAAACACCAAACCACTCTTCCTAGTTCCTTCTTTTAACAAATAATGTACCTTTGGTACTAAACAATGAAATTTATGGAACTCTTGTGTCTTCAAGGTCACAATCTTATACTATTTTGTGTGCCAAAAATAAGCCAGCCTTTTATCTTATAAAAACAAAAAGAATCAACGATTTTAGTGAGTAACTATCATGAGGAAGACACAAGCAAACAAAGAGACAGTCAAACAAGGCCAGGAAGTAAAGTATAAAACCAAAATTTGTAAAATGTTTAATTTTAGAAACTCTACAGGGAATGTCTTTGGTTTGTGACTTTTTGTGTTTTCTGCATAATAAAATAGATCAGAAAAAAGGTAGCTTGTTTAGAAAGGAATACGACATAGACATAATTGCGGAAATATGCTGGAGGGCAAGAAACCAGATGATAAAAGCACTTTAAAAAGGCAAATCATACAAAAGAGGAGAGGATACTTTGTAGTCAGTACTCAAAGGTGGCTGCTTTGAATAGCAGGGAAGATGAGAAGAGTGAGGTTAGGTAGGTGCTTCCCAAACTGTAAGTCTGACCTACTGGTGAACCTAACAGGAGACACTAAGGCAAGCTGGGACCAAGAGCAGTACAGTGGTGTGACCAGTTCTCCGAAAACCATCTTCATCCTCTTCCCACTTATTCAAGGTAAGCACACACGCACCTCCCGGCGGCTGCTGCACAGCCAGAGTTGGATTTACCCTATGTTGTCTCCATGGAGATTACAGCATTTAGGTGGAAATTAAGGAGAGATAGGTTTGGGTTCGATAGGAAGAAAAACTTTCTAAAAGGCTGTCAAAACCAAAGCAAACCATAACACACACTTTGCCACACACTGAACCCATACCTCTGAAGGTTAGAGCATGAACTAAATATTATCTCTAGAAAAGGTAATTGTGTTTAGTGTGAGCTTGTCCTAGCGTCCTCAGTAGTCCTTCCAAAGCTGTTTTGATGGTTCTGTGGTCCAACCTCCTCTCTTCTCCATTAGCATCTAATCGCCTCAAACTTCATTCTGTATCCATTTGGTTAAAAAAAAAAAAGTGACAAAAGGGAATTGAGAAATTCTTCACAAAGAGCCAAAGTGTTCCTGCACAAAGATTGTGAAACAGAAGGTTAGCGACTAGCTTTATTATAGTGGACTTATTTATAGGTTTTAGACCTTTGGTTACTTTTGGCAAGAAGTGAATCCTGAAAGCTCATACCAAGAGCTTTAAATAGATAAATAATAACCCCATAGTAAAGCCAGTGTCTTTGTTCTCTCATTTATGCCCAGATTCGTGACCCCGGGAGCCAAAAGTACACCCTGATCTTTATGCATACCTTGAGACAGCAATGAAGGAATAAATTAAACTTTTCAATTAGGCATGAAAGGTGGAGGTGGAAAAAACAAGATATAGAGCAGTTACCATTGTGACAGAACCATCAATTCATAGAATAGCCTCAGACCTGGGAGTTGGAGGGGTCCCCTAAGGAAAATGTCTTACATACATGTCCTGTGTGTAGTGAGTGCATTAGAATCAACAGGCCAGCATTGTGGCTGGAGCACTGAAGCTCGGGACTGAGGCAATCTTGAATTTAGATCTGTGCCAAGCACCTCTGTATAATGGCTTTCCATATACACTACAGGGCCAAAAAGAACCGAAAAATTTTAGAGCAAGGCTGATTTCGAGCCCAGATCTGCCATAATAATCCCTTCCTGACAAGCAGAACAGGGTCACCCAACAAGTGTGACACGAAAACCTTTAGCGGCTGCGTTACCAGGCCCAGGGCTTGCAGGACACACAAAAGGCTTTTTCTGCTCTTTTACAAGGTACTCTGGAAGCCAAGCTGTTTGCCATGGGAAGGTCTGGGAAGGGGTGGGGGAAGGTGGGACGCAACAGGTTGTCCACATCCGGCTGCCAGTCTGTGCAACAGGAGAGCCATTCTTCGCGGTCCCTCGGCCCCCGAGGTGCGGGGGCGGCGGGAGGAAGGGGGCGCAGACCTGCGTTCCTCCCCACCCGGGGCGCCAAGCACCTGGCGGGAGACATGCTAGGCAGCCATCGGAAGAGCGCGGGGAGAGCGCTC